CCTTATAAAGGTAAAGTGACACTGACACACTGTTTTTTTTTTTGTTTTTTTCAATCATGAAAGCCTTTTTGCAAGCCCACTTTCCTAGCCGTGGTGAGAGAGCTGCCAGAATTGAGGGCTTGGCCGTGAGACTGATCCATGGGCAGATTTCTTAATGTAGTGACAGGCGGTGAAGCAAGCAGTTTTCAACCACTGCTGCCGGAGACCTTCCTCTGGAACTTGTGACTGTGGACAAGGAGGCGATACTGGCCGGGCAGCGACAGGTTCAATTTGATCGGCCGCAGAAAATGTTAGGTTCCACAAATCGGGGTCTGCGGCAGTGCTGGTTCCAACCAAGTTCGATTCCAGAACCACTAAGAAAAGTAGTAAATTACCAGGGGCCGACCACGAGTTGATAGATCTCGTGGCCACCACCCTTTTAAAACAAATTTTAGAAAAAAGTATCCTCCGACACTTGGAGTGGCATGGTTTTCTGCTGGCTAATGCAATCATAGAAAGGCCTGCTGTGGAGTTGCAACTTTTTGAATCAGGAGGTCCACCTGGCCTTTCCTTCTTCTCAATTCTCAGGCTTTTCCTTCACCATTTCTAAACAGCCCTAGTGGGGGTGTCATTGTAATCTTTTTAGAATCTGTTTCTGAAAGGCCACTGGAGCCACAACTTTTCTGTCATTGCCCTTTTAACTTTAGAAATGGAGACCCTACACCAGAAAAGGAAAGAAGGGGCAACGAAACGAAAACCAGTCTGAAGTGCAAGTTCTTTTTCCCTTTAGTTGTTTTCTCACAAAGTGCAACCTCACCTTCTGAGGCAAGGGTGCACTTCTTGCTTGGATTCTCCGTTCCTGACAATAGATTACGAAGATCGGCGTCCGGGAACAAAAAAAACTATGCGTGGGATCTCAATGCTGATGTGCTGAACTGCAAGTGTGAGGGTCTTGCCAAGGCCACAGAATACGAATTGTTATTTTCCCCCTGGCTCATATAGATGTCATACAGCGTACAAAGGGGAGAAGAGAGAAGGGGTTCATACTTCAGGGGTACTTCTGGACAGTGAACTTCCCGGGTACGGGTTCAAAAGGAAGAGAGACAGAAGGAAGGGGATTAAGAATCCTAGCTCAGTTGCTGCACCCATGAACTGTTCAAATACAGACCGATCGAAAGGGGATTAAGAGGTGGATGATCACGTCTAGTTTACCTTAGGGCCTCACTTTGGGCGGCAGGTGCTGCAGGTGGTATGGTTGAAGGGGGGACCTCGTGGAGGGATTGTCTGCTTCCAATGACAAATAGACCAGAGTGGGCCCAGTTGATGACAGGGGTATGGGGGCACATGGTGGCCGTCTACCTACTCGTTTTTTTTTTTTTTTTTTTTTTTTTTTACATACTCACAAGACTTCTATCCTACCACCCCTCTCAATATATCTCCTGGCGCACCCCCACTCGTTTTCTATCTTACCTCATGCGAGGAACATCACTCTCTACTGGAGCAACCTGACCAGACAGCGGATGCGGGCACTGACGCTGAATGAGATCCCCCATTCAGCCCCAGTTGAGGCACTACCCGTAGCGTACAAGCCTCGTTATACAGGTACCTCGGGAGCTAGGTGCAAAGTTCTCAACTAGTCCCGTGAGCAGTAAGGGCACCCATAGGCAGTGTCTAGTGGTCGGCTAACCAAGGTCTAACCCATGAGCCCCTCTAAGCACCAACCTATCACAGCTCAGTTCATATACGGCCACTGTTGGTTGTTGAATATGCTGGTTGTTATGTGAGCTAGTGTGATATCATAGTCTGTATGCATGTACGTGGTTGCTCTCTGCTACTAATGAGCCTTGCTTACATCTGTTCGCTAGGGAGAATCGACCAGAGGTAATGGTGGAGACCTCGACCCTCATCAACTACCCCTGACCAACCTCTGATAACCCACCTCCCCAGAATGGGTCTACAGACATCGAGAGTAGGACACACCTCTTGATTCGACATTGGTTTCCCTACAAGGCACCCCTGCCCACCATAGGACTGCCACAGCATCACCATGCACCCAAACAGCCCCTTACCGCTCTCCGGCTCGAGAGAGTAGCATCCATCCCACATCAACTATCCCGCAGGAAAGGCACACGCCCCCAACCAAATCCGTCCAGAGGATCATCCCTAGCAGATATGACGAACAATATATATAGACATGATGAATGAGCATAGTATGGAGTTGAACCTGGGACCCCCAAGTTACAATATCAGAGCTCTACCCACTGAGCTATTGAGGTCATTAATCTGTAAGGGCTGTGATACGCAACCTCACGCCCCCTCGCAGCTTCCCGTACGGGGTCGCCGATCAGAGTTCTAGGAGGGGCGTGGTCGAGGATTTTTGGCCGTAAGGGTTGAGTCTCCCGGACGGAACGGGAGGCTCTCGTTTCTTGGCCGAGGTTTTTCTCGGAGTCGAACTGTCGTCGCGGAGGATCACTCCGAAACCATAAACTCAAAAAAAAAAGGTTTCCGCAAAAATGAACTGCCGTCATGCATTGGGACGGAAAAAGGCATCAAGGGGAGAGGGCCATGGCGGCGGAAGACAAAACTTCGGCCGTCAGGGGTTTGGGGGATAGGTGGCGGGTTCGAAGCCTTCGGGCCTCATCATCGGCCTCACAAAGTGGCCGAACCCTCGGGTCTTTGCTGCTGAGGTGGTTGGTTCGAGGCCTTCAAGCCTCGGCGTCGGACTCACAGAGTCCGCGCGAAAGTTTCCGAGAGGGTAAAGCGGCGGGAGGACTCGCCGGCATCTGAATTCGAAATTGCGCGGGCAGCGCCACCGCACTACGGGAAATCTCGGGGAAACGTATCGCTCCCTCGTAATCCAGGACCAGCCGTCGCCACAAACACAAGTCCCCCTGGCGACACCATCGACAATCAAACTGCGGTCGCCACGCGGCGTGAGCGGCCGACCAGGGCAACACCGTTAAAAACCGTATAAGGCAATATTAGAGTCGGGGAATCAAAGCGATCAATCAACACAAACCCGTTCCCCCTTATCTCACAAGCCCGAGGCGGGTCTTGCCAACACACTTGCTCTGTCCRCCTCAGCGCGCGCCGTACGTCCGCATCGCAGTAGACGCTGTCGTCATCTGTGATGGGGAAGGTCGGTAGCGAAATGAGATGATCGGAGGTACGTGGTGAACACGGGCAAGATCCCGCGTTCCCGGTCATCCGAACCAACACCGAATCCATACAACAATCGTCGCAACGCTTTTCTCTCAAAAGTGGGTGCGTAGGGGGGAGGGATGACGAAATCTAAGCTTTCTCCCCTTGGTGGGGGCGTTAACCGTCCGTGCGGACGCAGGCGATGGACGTCACCGGTATGGGGACGAGAGGCTCTAAAAGGCGATGACTGTTAGTTCAAAAGGAAGGCGATCGAAAAGGGAGAGACACACACA